TCAGGCAATTGCTCTAGTGGAACCTGAAAGAGGAAGTGGTGAGTGGGTCGTCAGTCCAAGGGTGACATGGAGATCATGTGAAGAGCAGTTGAAACAGTATGGACTAACATGGATGCAGGTACAGCAAGTACAGCAGAAGACAGAAGGAAGTGGAGACGTGTAGTTGAAGCCCTATGTTCCACTAGGAACCCAAGGGAACAAGAATAATAATAATAATAATGCTGGTATCGTAAAAAGCATATCCAACTGATAGCATAAAGATTTCCCTTCAGCCATTCAAACACATTAGAAAACATTTTCCAAATTCTAATTCATGCATAAACCTGAATTTCTGAACAGCTTATCGACATGGCTAATAGCATCATTCGAGACGCGTATCAGTGAGATTAGTTACAGATGGTGAGGCTGTGAAGTCGCATCAACTGTAATGTTACGCTTGCAAAAGCATACTCCCCGAAACGTTACTAATCAAAGGATGGAAACTCCTAGTGAAATGGCTAAAAATCTTTATTAGTGACGCTTAAACATTCACATTTTTTCATGGTGCAGATTAACTGAATTTCCATTATTCTCCATGTAGTTATTCTTTCTCCCCTACATTTCCCATATATTGTAGTTGCTTCGTAATTCTTTATTTCTGCTTTGATTTTTTTCTACACTTTGTGAACCCCAGTTCGCCTCATCAATTTTTTCATGTCCCTTGAACCGATCACCAGTCACAATAATCAATGACTTCTCTAACGACTGTTATACAGAACTGTTTTTACTGACTGTCTTTCTTTTAGGAAGGAATTATTGATTGAAATAACAGTGCCAACTGATCTGATGCAGCTGGCTGATACATTCGGATGAAAATCAGATTTATGCAAAAGCATTTACTATCACTTTTATTGTGAATTTATACAACAGTGATAGTCATTGTTTGTCTTTGCTAAATATTATTATTCTTTCCTTTAATTCCTAGAGGAACACAGGGCTTCAGCCGCGCGTCTTTATTGCGTTCGGTTCTCTGCTAGAGTTTTCATCTGGCTCCAAGTCTGCCCACATGCTTTCATCTCCTCCTCACATGACCTCCTCCAAGTCACACTTGCACTGACGACCAACTCGCCTTACTTTCGGGTTCCACTCGAGCGATGGCTTTTCTAGTGATGTCACTTGATGGTTTCCTCAGAGTATGGCCAATCTATCTCCATTTCTTCCTGCCTGTTTGTCACACAGTTGGTTCCTGCTGTGTTGGTTTGCTCCCAGAGATCCGCGTTGCTGATCTTTTCAAGCCGGCGAAGACAGCTGTTAATGTAGGTCTGAAGTTTGTTTGAGATGCTCTTTATGACGCGCAGTGCAAGTCTCTGATCCGTATAGTAGCACTGACTGACTTTACATTGCAGTTGAAAATCCGGATCTTATTTTTAATTTCATGCTGAGTGCTGTTGACCTCCACACAGACTAAGAGTAATGAAAGCTTGTCTTGCTTTTCCGATTCTGGCTTTGATATCCTCTTCAGTTCCATCCGCCTGTAGTTGAAACGATGCTTCCCATGTAGGTCATTGAAGGAGGTTTTTTCTTTCAGGTTCTTCCCATTTATGCAGGCTGATTGTTGTCTGTTGTTGTTGCTGTTGGTGTTGGCCAGGAATCTTCATCACCTCTGCTTTCTCTATGTTCGCCTGTAGTCCTATCTCCTCTGGATGCTTCTTCTGCCAACTTGTTGCTTTTCACTTGCATATCTTCCAGTTTGTGGGAAATCAGATATATATCATCAGTCCACCACAGTCATTAAAATCATTGACGATAGTAGACAGCCAGCTTGTCTTACTCCCGTCTTCACTTCGAAGGATTCCGTAGGTTTCCCGTTGTGGATTACTTGGCATGCAGCATTGTCGTATAACTGCTGGATGAGATGTATAATTGTCGGCGGCACCCCACAGTAGCGAAGTAAATATGCTAAATATGGCATATTCATTTTTGAGTTGGCTTTCCCTCTATTCTCATGAGTTTCTCAGCCTACCACAGTTAAGAGCTTTCCAAGTGCTGATAGTATTCTGCCCTTTAAAACTAAAAGTTTTACTAGTTTTCTGTAGGTTTCTATAGGAACCAGACTCAACGATTTTTGCTTACGTTACTTTCATTTTCTGCTCAGTACCGTGTTTAAACCATTGGACAGTTCTTCACTTTAATGAAAAGTTTGTCGACTTGTGAAAAAACAAGTCTTTAATTTGAGTACATATTTGTCCTAAATTTTATTTTGAGATAAGAATTACTATTAGTCCATCTTGAATAGATTTTGTTATCAAAAGGTCATAAAACAGGCCAACATAATAAGAACTCGATGATAAGAAAACACTTAAAATCACGGAACATATGGTTATTCCCATTCATGGTATTCTCCAGTGGTTCATTTTATCTAAAGCTGGTGTTTATGTGATCAAGAAGGAGGACAATGAATATTTTGCAACCGAATTATCTAGTACCTAGAATACAACAATATCAAAGCATGCTTGTCAGCTCCATACTGTTATCATCAATTTTAAGAATCCTGGTACACATGATGTATTATTATAATTTACTTCCTGTCATTATTTTGAGGATAAATTTCCGTTCAAAGCTACGTCCTAATGACGGTAGAAGAATTGACGGGACTGAGTAGAATACAGCTAAAGCTTAAAGAAGGTTAAGCCTAGATCAGTGTAACAAGGAGTAGAGGTATAATAGTGGAAAAGGAGAAAAAAGAAAACGAAAAAGAAAGCAGGTTGGGTGTGAGGACAAATACTCGCCGAAGACATTGGCTAGGGGTCGCGTTATGTCGTTAATTGGCAGAAGTTAGAATTCAAGGGCAATTCGATCGGGTCCCAGTGGCTCAATGGTCTACGAGCTCGCCTTGTAACCAGAAGGTCCTGGGCTTGAATCCCGGTGGATGCTTACTGCTGAAGAGTCCCAAACTAGGACGAATCAACTGTTCAGTACTCCCAGATGGTTTTCCAATGGTTCTCTGACTGATGTCAGCTCATGATGAAATCCTGTAATCAATCAAATCCTTACAAATCAACACTTGAAAATTTTTTAAATTACACGCCTAACATTGAAATAAATCAAGTTCATTGTAAGTTCACCGACTGAACAATGAACTTCGGTATTCAGAGTTCAGCATTAGATATACGGATTATCATAGCTTTTGTTATTTGAAGAAGTTTGAGTAGTATACCTTTAGCAATGACTTTAATGTACTCTACAGATGAGCATGAAGTTGGTCTGCTAGTTCGTTTAATGTACAAAATCGATCATTTCCCTCCAGGCTAAAAATTAGTTTACTGTAGTTCGGTTCAGTTTATGTATTCACTTTAAAATTCGTTTTTTCCATGCAAATAGCTGGTATAGACTGACTAACTTAAGGACAGTAATCCTGATGAATAAGCTCTATCTAAAAAAGTCTTTCACATCTGTTTTGCAATGCATGAATGTTATAAATTAAAAATAACTGTTACTAAAAGACCTTCAAAGTCTAACGAAGGTGGCCGTTTACCACTATTAATTTTCCCTTTAAATAGTTTTATTAAATCGGAATTCTCTGTTACTGTTGCCATGTCGACTCTTGGTACTAATGCTTGTCTGTAGAAGAACATAGTGTTGTTTGTTTGATGTCGGCTAGCAATAAAAATCGGTGAAAACGAAGTACAAAACAATTGAAACAAATAATGGCTAATAACCATTGCACAATAGTTGGCTGTCGTGATTCACTGGCCTAGAGAATAACATTTGAACATTTGAGGTAATGTGTGTTTGGTTCACGTAGGCACCTGTAGAACTGTGTATCGCTGATTCATTTAGATGTATAGTTGTATACGACTCACCTCAATCAACTGTACTTACTAGCCAGATCAGAGTGATCTAAACAGCAGATGACCGTTTTGCTCATTTAAGTCCGGGCTAACAAGTGGTTTAGCCGGTTCGAGTCGCCTATTACAGTCGAATTAGTTTAAGTAACCTCATTTCTAACTAGCTACTTGGTTGAAATGGCCAATCACTGTTTAGATCACTTCGATCTGGCTAGTAAGCTCTACTTATGATGCCATCAGTATACGACTACTCATGTCAATCAACCGGTAGTATTTTCAAGTATTGGTCTTGTAGGGCATTTTGTTTGATTGCATGGAGGATTTCATCATGAGCTGACATCAGTTAGAGAACTACTGTAAAACCTGCAGGGAGTACTGGACAGCTGTTTCGTCCGAGTTTGGGACACTCCAGCAGTACGCATCCACCCAATTAAGGTTTGAACCCAGGACCTTCTGGTTATAAGGTGAGCTCGTAGACCATTGAGCCACTGGGACCCGATCGAATTGCCCTTGGATTCTAACTTCTGCCAATTCACGACATAGCGCGACCATTTCGCAATGTTTTCTAATATGAGTTACTGCCTGGGTCCTGGAATCGAACCTCGGTGGTTGCGTACTGCTGATGAGTCCCAAACTAGGACAAAACAGCTGTCCAGTACTCCTAGGTTTTCAAGTGGTTCTCTAACTGATGTCAGCTCATAATGAAATTTTCTATGCAGTCGATAGTATGTAATTTTATGAATTTACTCCATTTATGGTATCCGACATATTACACATCGTGATCCGAATAATCTCAGTTCCAAAAGGAATTTGTGATGATGAAATAATCACCTTGACCTATATAAACTGAGAATTAATTTGCAAACTGTAAATTTGATTTAGGAAAAACTCAAATCCCAGATTCCACTGCTAGCCATCACTGATCCAATAACATGATCATGCTTAGTTCATTTGACTAGACTAAAAACAAAAAGTTAAAAACATCAACAGTACTGCTAAATTACCTTTTGTAAATAGTTTACTTTTTAAAACAACTAATAACTAGAATGACAAATGTACAAAATATTCAAACATGAATCGCTTAAACAAGAAAACAAGAATTTCATTAACTTTCTCTGTGTCTTGTTTAAAAGCTCGTCTTTCAAGGAAATGACACTAACCCTTGATGAAGATTCATTCTCCTAGACTGGATATGATCACAATAAGGAGACATTTTGAATAGGGTATGAAATTTGTCATACCATTACTATTGTCATATGAAATACCATAAGGATATATTCCTTTTATTGAGGACTGTATTACTGGTATGGGTGTAAAGTAAGCATAATTGGTGTTTCCATAGCGAACAAAAGGTGACAAGGGATTGAATTGCGCCCATTTGCCTCGTCCTCTTGAGCTGTATTGAATGATTGGTTTTCTGATAATTCTTCCGTCAGTATTGTCTTCAAGAGGATTTTGACTACTCTGATGAATGATGTAGTTTGAAGCAGAGCGAAATGGTTTGCTCACCAGCCGTTTTTCTTTATTTCTGAATAAAAAGAGATACAATTCAATGTTTTTTTTATTATTTGAGATAATACATTTTGATTAAAGTTGGAAATCTGATTGGCTAGATGATGGGTAGTCTGGATAAAGCATCCTAGTTTCAATGAGGTTCATTTGTTAATTATATGACGCATTTAAACAATTAGAGCACTTCTGCCTTAATGCCCTCTAGACAGTCAGCACAAATTCAGTCGAACGCGTATTAACAGAGGAGCTAGCAGCATCAAATAAAGTACAACCTGGATATGAAAGGGGAGCATATTTGTATAAAATATCTTGACTGATAAACTGATAAGATTTTTACTATAGCGCATAGTGATACAGTATCAGCTAGTAGAGAAGTTTCAAACATAATTTACTGCACATAGTCATACCAATAATGAACCCCACAACCTTGAAACCTGGCGTTTCTAGTCCTAGTTATTACCTTCTCCTTGTCATACTGATGGTAGAGTTTCCCGAATCCCCTGAATACTTGAATCTTCTTTTATTCTTTCTATGATGTCGTCAGCTTCCAAAATAAGTCCAATGTTCAGCATATTCGATGACTTCTATCTAGGATTAAGTGCAAATCAGTCGTGTGACATTACCCTATTTCCGATAGGAGCAAACTGTAGATCGAAGATTTTCACCTTTTAGCCAGTTTGTCCAAAAAAGTAAGTGATGTTTTTCAGAACAATCTAAGCCGATGACACCGTTCACCGTTAACAAGTCTGTGCCAAAAGAAACCTGAAATCCAACAATACTTTTAAAGGAAATACAAAGTATGCGAGTCAGCTTTAGGCGTTCCTGATGCAGATGATTCTTTTCAGTGGTCTCAGTCAACTAATCACTTTAAGGCTTTACGGCGTCCCCTAAATATAATTCACAGATTAGCATAAACCACCTTCATGACATTTCCTCTTAATTTAGGCGTTTCTACAAGAAATTTCTTTCAGCGAAACGAGATATTCCCTTAATTTCAGGAAATATCAGCATTAAATGTATTAAACGTCAGTAAGTATATTTTCAGAACTTATAACGAAATAGAAATCTATCCAGTTTACTGCTGTCCCCATCTGCGGTTATCATAAAATTTGTCTCCTTCCTTATAAAATCAGTCAATTAAATACCTTTATTAGCCCAATGGGACTAATAACTCATCCTCACCATTTTGAACATCTCTGGCGTCAAAACATTAAGTCCTGTTGCTTCGACTTATTTCACAGACGGATTTTGAAAGGTTGTCCACATTTGGATAACCAATGACTGCGCAGCCATAATTAAGATATATATGATCTTTTGCTAAATATTCCAAAAGCCTCTGCTCTAAACGTTTTAACGTTTCATTCTTTTCACAGTTCATTTCACTGACGATGGCTTTAATGAGGCTGGTTACCTCAAAGCTAAGTATCTATTACCACTATTTCTTCCTAATTCTTTCGCTTCCACCGTCCACTCTTGTTTGTTTTCGTTGGTAATACTTTGAATCAGATTATATTTTCGCAGTTTTTCCACACAACATGCTCAGAGCCAACAAGGATATGATTCTGTGTAAAAATCCCAATGCCTTATAATAACCTGTGATTATGGTTACTGATGGTTTAAAACACTGTGAAACAGATAGAATATGGTAACCAGGCTTTCCAAGAATAAGTATTGCTATCATTCATTTCTACATGAACACAAACTAAAATTCCCATCTGAATATGTAGGTGCTTCGCAGGTGTGTCCGCTACAACAAATGCACACATGTTAAAGTACTAATATCCGATCGATTAGAATGAGTGCAACAATGTTTTTTTGCTTACTTGTTCAGTTCAGAAGAAAAATGATCAAAAAATGAACGTTTTTGTGTATCATTGCAGTCATTATCTGTTTTTTCCATATTTTCATGTCTTGCGTCACCCGATGGTTTTACAGAATCCGACATTTTGCTACTTGAACCTAAGAGAATATAGAACAATAAAAAATGAGAATAAATGTTATCAGTCCAACAGGCAGGTAAAAATATCTCACCATTCGCTACAACATGAGGAGACTAAATGTACTGTACTTCACTGGTGTATTGAAAGCTTAACGTTTTCGATATACAGGCTGATTTGTTAAGACACACTAATGCTTATGAAAATAAAGGTGCTTTGCTCCACAAGAACAAATAAAATGGTCGGTACATCTCGAGAAGGCCTATAGCAGTATTCTGCCTTTGAGGAATCGATTTTTGTCATAGCTGCATTTAATGCCCTTCTCTAGAATTGCTTTAATTCATCTACGCAGTCCTGCGATATCAAGCTGTTGGATAATAAATACACCATTTATAAATAACTCAATCACTGGCAATAAGCAACTTATCTCTGTTATCAAGATCATTATATATAGATACTGTTATAGCTTCGTTGAAAAGGGTAAAACGCCTTCGACACTTTGTTATATCTATGCCATTAATTGTTATGACAGTAATGAAATTGGCTGGTACGCTAATACGCCTATTCGTCTGTTGTACCTTCCGCTTCACTCATCCACGCAAATACCAAGAGACAAAGGCTGGTCTGTGACTATAAGATGCCATACATTTATTAGACTTCCACGGTGTGGGCAGTCAGGAAGTAACAATCGTCCTCACAATCCAAAATGCACACGAAACCTCTCTAGTCCTCACTCATCTTTGTCTTCATCTTCATCTCTATTGTCTTGCCTTCCTTCCACTGATGCAACTCCTCTACTTGATGGCTATTCACTTCCTATTCACTCTGTGTCCAGTAAAAACGACGGAAGTCAAAAAACCACTACCGATAGTCTACTAAGGCAACGCCACCAATTTCACATAGGAGTATTTAATGTTAGGACACTTTCCCAAATAGGACAACAAGCACCACTAGCCAAGACTCTGGAATCCCGAGCCATTGATGTATGTTGTGTTTCAGAAACACGCACACAATACCCAAGTGTGGTTATTCACCTAATCCCACCTGGCCAACAGGATGAATCTTCGAAATTCACCTTGAGGGTGTCAGGAGATGCCACAGCTGGTTCACGAGGATTAGCTAGTGTAGGGATAGCTTTGAGTACTAGGGCAGGGAAGACATTACTTGACTGGATCCCGGTAGATGGCCGAATGTGTGCTGTCCATCTGAAAGGATCAGTAAAAAGGAGAAAGGACTGCACTACTCGCCGATGCCTTTTTGTAATCTCCGTCTACGCCCCCACTGACTGCAGTTCGGATGAAACGAAGGATGAGCTCTACCAAAAGTTGCCTAGTTTGCTGCGAAAGACTAAACGCTTAGATATAGTCGTTCTGTTTCACTCTTATACTTGTCAAACTCTATTGATTCTCTTCACTCATCTTCTTGTCAACCTTTGTGTGCTATTGGGAACGTGGTGACTTCAACCGCCCCACTTCGGTGCCAAGTTCCATGTTGAATCCAGGCAGACAGAAAGGTACATTTATTAGGAAAACGACACATGGTATTTATAAAATTTCTTTATCACAATAAATTCGGCTCACAGCCGTGAGAAATGATTGATCACACAATAAATCACAGTATGCGTGAGAAAGGTTGATTTACTATTTTATGTGAGTTTCTGTCGGATACTTGCATACCTATGGTGAAAGTAATAATTCTATTTGAAGTTTTTTTCATTATTATTATATTTACCCCTATATGCCTCATCATTTTATCTTATTGGTGATTCCTGTTTCCTCACAAAGACCTTAAAATTTGCCTTATCCATCATTAGATTCCAAAGTTATTTTTCGTACTTTTGACGGAAACAGTTTTTATATCTGCTACATTAAACCAGCTTTCATTCATCCATTTTCATTCCCGGATTAATAATACTAATGAAATTAAAATAATTTTTCGGAAATTTTTTTCCTTCACGTTCCCCACTGGAACATAGGGCTTCAAGCTAGTGGCTTGAAGTTTTTGTAGCAGTGTTTATTTTACAGGATGGGGTTGCTAGCCTCATGTCCAACCTTTCCTCTTTACCGGCATTATTTCTGGCTGGGGATCGAACCCCGGGCCATGTGTATGGTCGGCGAGCGTCCGAACCGCTTCGCCACCGACACAATTTTTCGGAATATACTAGTACTGTTCATCTGGTTTTAATGGATTTTCTGTTGAACACAAATACAACTGTACACCTCTTTAAAATTATTCCCCAGAAGGATTTTAATTGAAGTGAGAGCACAGAACTTTTTTAATTCTAACGAAAGAAACTTTGAGATAAGTATGATACAAATATGAAAATATCTGCTATCTGGCTGCACATGAATGATTAAAGAACTAAACCAGTTGACCTAGCAAAGAAAACTTCTGATATCTTTCCTTTTCATAAAATGATTTCACATGTCGTTGTCTTGACCTCTTCAAGACAACTATACAAATTGAAAAGTTTTCAGACTGCTTTTATAACGATGAATATTAGACTAAATTCTTCATGTATACAAAAAAATCTTCAGTAACATGTAAATCACTGGTGAATAAGAATACACAGCCCACGTCTAGTTACTTAACAAAATCGAATTTTCAAGTGCTGGTTTGTGAGACAACCATTGGAAAGCAGGTACTGCTAGGTAATAATAATAGTTTGCTTTATTCCCAAACAGTACTTGTGATACAGAATGGAATTCTCAGCATTTTACTACAGTATTGCATCCAGTTTGTACATTAGCGACAAATAAAATTCTACATAGATTATGGGTAATCTCACTTAATTTTGACAGCAACATATTAGCATATCGGTAGCAAAGCCAAAAAGTGAACAGAATGTTTTAAGGTGCTAGAAAAGTATATGCTAACATATTTACTGGCGTAAGCAGAAGAAAGATACAAAGCAGCACATAACAGAGAAAAAAGAGAGGAAAAAGAAAAGGAAAGAAGGAAAAACTTTGTACCTATAAATGATATGAGTTGGAAAGACGAGATCCAGTTGTTCTTCTGACTATTTAATAAGTTACAGGTATCACACCTTATGCTTTCTTTACCGCACGGGACACGAGCTCAGTAAGGTTTGGTTGAGATTTTGTACTTGCTAATGCGAGCATATAGTTTTCTATATAGGCTTCTGGTCCTGTCTGATGAGATACAAGGGGAGAGTTGTGAATGAAGAGGGTGGTGTGAGTTTGACAAAATGGATTTAGCCCATTTTTCACATGAGTCCAAGTGCCTGTCAACCAGAATATTAATAAGCTGGTTAAGTGGCACATTGCTTACCCTGATGACAACATTTAACATCCTGCTTAATAACGTATAGTCCTTTTTCAGCAGCCCTGAAAAACTAAGGGGGAACAATAGAGAATAACAGGTAGGACGCAAGTGTTAATGAATCGCACGAGTAAGGGTTGGGTTATTCCAGAATGTCTACACTTCTTGATGTGAAAGGTAAGACGGAATATTTTCTTAGAAATCATCAAGATAGCTATTTCATCTCATTTTCATTTTGGTACATTTCAGAAGTACATCTGATGTCATTTCTCGATCTAAACTGAGACCCATCAAATTCCCTCTTGATTCACAACTCAACCCTTGCATTTCATCACGTAAGATGCCAACTCCAATAAGTACAAAAACTAAACAATACCCTTTTCGGGCCGCGTTCTGTATAGTAGAGTAAGTATTAAGCGTGAAACTTATGACTTACTATGTAAGTATCAGAATAAATAGCTCTTTGGTCTCTTATTTGTAATTTATGGTTACACTGTCTAAATTATTTTATCATTTTAGTTATTATTAATAATATTATTACTATCAGTTTATACTTCTTGTACATTTTTGACACTATTGTTACTACTAATTCCAAAATGTTACCTATACCCTCTAATGGTTTTTTGGTGGAGTGCATTGGATGCAATACTGTAAAAAATTCTGGGAATCCTATGCTGTATCTTAAGTACTTTAGTGGAATAAGGCAAATCATCATTACTGTTAATATTACGAGCTAATAACTGACGATTAATGGCCTTGTCAACAGTAACTGACGACAGGATACAATTCTGGTGAGTTGTCACGTGCGGGGACAAATACTTGCCAAGAACACTGGCTGACAGTCGGGGTATACATCGCTAGTCATCAGAAGCTAAAAATCATGGGCCACTATATTCTGTTCAAGTGACTGAATGGTTAATGTGCTCGACTTATGAGCTGAAGGTACTCGATTCTACCCCCTGATAAGGTCACAAGTACGTACTCTTTAATAGTCCTGAACTTGGAAAAAACAGCTACCCACTACTTCTCAGTTTCTAGCTGTTGTTTAACCGATATCAGTCAGTGATTTAAATTAAAATTGGATATATCAATATCCAAAGACTGGTGGTAATGAATATCTACATAGATGTCAGATTTGCTTCGCTCAGTCTTCTTTGAAATGTTATCGCAAATCTCGTTTACCATATGTCGGGTGAAAGATATGGCTTTTGATATTTCGGCATTCATAAAGCTAATTTTACTTAACTCTGGTGGTACACTTTAGGTCTGAAGCATTAGGATCAAATATTCCGAACTAGACACCTCAAAGTCCATTCTCTTAACAGTTATCAGATGGGACTCAGAAGTATAGGAGTCTACATCGAAACAAATTAAAGTGCGCTAATCGTAATACATTCCCGTTAGATTCGTCAATGAGTACTGCTGAAGATTCGGTAATCTGTGGTTCTCAGTAGTTCTCTGGCCAGTGTGAATTTGTGACGAAATCTAACTTTACATCCTAATATGAAACATCACTTCATTCTTATCCGAGAGTGGGGAACGATTTCGACCAAATACGTAAGGTTCCGCACTGGATTCGCTTGAGGCATAAAAACACTGCTTATGAACAAAGAGATAATGTCAAATTTTAGTGCAGTTGATTAGAAAAACCAAACTTACTACTGTCGACTTTTCTTTCGAGACTGAAATGTCTATGTTTCGATGACTCTAACTGTTGAAATACATCGGTGTTTCTCTCCATACTATGAAGAATTTAAAATTTAAAATAAATTCATTCACATTTCAGATTAATGAAAAAGATATTTACTTTTTAAAATGTAATTTGAATATTCAAATATATTGGTCTGTCTGTCTGTTTTCGACACAGAACTTTGCACATATGTGCGGCAGTTCGAGTCGCCACACTCCATGTAGCACAAAAAGCAAGAGAAGAAAGTAGAAGAAATGTATAATAGAGACAGTAAACAGAGGTGTGAGACTAAGGAATAGTAATAACGAAGAACAATATAGTTTCATTGGAAATCATAGTTCACAAGGAGTGGATGCATCTGCGCCATTGAGAACGATTTTGAGCCATATCACCAATTGTTTCCAACCACTGGTCTTTACCATCCTGAAGACCCCAACCAGGAAGCCCAGACCTTCCTACATGGCTGGCTTAAACTAACTGTTGTGGATTTCATGGACTGGTGTCATGTTTTGGTTTGACCGACGCTAGCTCTTTTCTAGCCTGACCATATATCAGTTAACATTGCCCGTCGAGCAAGGCGATGACTAGGCATAGGTAGCACATGTCCTAACCATCTTAGTCGATGTAATTTCACTGCTTCGTCGATTGATTTCCCCTCCTTACCTAGCAATCGATTCCTAACCTCAATATTGCTCACCCTATTTTACCACTTCACACGGGAGATAGAACGCAGGCACCTATGATCAAAGACAGCTAATCTTTTCATGTCTTCCACTCTCAATGGCCAGGTCTCGTTCACAGTCATAAAGGAGGACGGAGCGGACTGATGAGCATTAAAAGAAGGAAAGAGTGAAAGAAAAAGGCTTAACCAGGAAGACATTTTTCCTATGTTAAAGTAATCTATTCAAAATATATACTAGAATAACCAAAACTTCTGTTGCAAATTCACTTAAAATGAAACTCAGAGAACATTCGTATAAGCTGAATTAGTAAGTGTCTAATGGATTCACTTATTGATGCGCATAAATTGACTGCTATGTTGCACTAATGGTCAACAGCAGACGTACAGTACGGGCGTGATTCAGTGGTAAAATGCTTACTAGCCAGGCAAAAGGTCAGGATTCATTTCTAGGACGGTGCCCTCCTAAACCTGGGCTAGTTAACTAGCCAGAAATATGCCCGTAAAAGAGGGGAGAAGGAGTGTGAGGCTTACAGATCCATGAAATGAAAACAACATTACCACTACTGGAACTTCAAAGCTAGTAGTTCAACGTTCTACTTACTTGTAAGGTGTGGAATGAAAAACAAGCTGAGGTTTACTAAAAGGAAACATCTGATTTAAAAATTCCATATATATTTTAGCAAATGGTTTAACATTGCTTCTGATATTTATGACTCATATATTATAGCATCTGTGTACTCTAAGATTCACCCTAATATGAGCATTTTTTATACAAACAGCAGTTTGAAATTCAAAACCCTGAGATTTTGTATATTCTGAATTGAATAGTTAACTCTGGTCTCGACATTGTTTCCTTGTCTTCAAAAAATACAAATTCCTGGATTTTTCTGCTACCCCTTATAACTGATTGTATTTCTGAGCTATTTGAGGCTGTCAGAAATTGTTTTAAGACAAGTAGATTTTGAATCCAATGAAGTGAAAACTCAAGACCATATTGGATATCCTCACCATCATTTGGTAGCTTGCTTCTCTCCTTCTAGCTCGGTATGACTAGAATCGACAGAAGACGTTATGGCTACGCACCTAGTTTGAGGATAAAGAGATGGTTGCGTATGATTCACTCCCAGAAAAGCTTAATATTACTCGTAATGACTGCAATGAAATGATGAAGTGACTAGCATCTGGTCTCGTAGTTCAACTGGTAGAGCGCTGGGCTGGCAGTTCTGCCACTGCTTAAATTACCATTTCAGCTTGATTCACTATCCCTTACATGGAAAGTGGTTCACCAACACAAGATAATTCTAGGTAATTTCATGATCGGTTATAAGATTATCGTTTTTATTGGAGATGTATGCATTAAAATCACTTATGAGTAATAAATGTTTTCAATGACCCATGGTATTACTCATGTAGAACGGTGTGCAAATTGTATTGTTTCAAGTTGTGACACTTTGGAAAGACATATAAAATTAAAGGCCATGAAACTTTAACAGAAAAAAATGTAAGACAGAAGGTACAATCAGATGACTATTGAGGAATTTTAGATTCTGGAAGACTAAAAGGACTGAATACATCTGCGCTGGTGAAAACACTTTTTAGTTATGTCACCAACAGTCTCGAACCATTGCCTGCTAACATCCAAAGGATCTCAGCTTAACAGTCTACATAGTATACATGGTTCAAACCAACAGGGAAAGATCTAATGGGTTGATGTTATCCTTTGAGTTGACCACTACTAAAGCTTTTCCAAACTAGTCTCTTATTGGCTAATCGCACTTACCGTAAAAGATGGTGATTTATATACGTGAAATGTGTCCAGGCCGTGTCATCTGGTGAATCTTTACAACCATAATGATTTACTTTCTTCCATTATTACTACCTTATTACTACCGGTCATTTCTCGACGTCCAGCATTAAGGCTCGAATGTAGATGAACATTTGGGGAACAACGGCAACATTACCACACACCCCATTCCCCAAAGCTTTGTAGTACGACCGTAAAATGAAATGGAATGAACTGCTCTTAATAGGATATACTCTTTGGCAGAGAGCCGGGCATCACACATGCTCCTAGGATGACGCAAGTTAGCAAAAGTAAAAGCAGCATTATATACCCATGGTCGGATTTCATCAGGGTTTAGTTCATTAGGGTCGATGCAACCTTTAAAATAAGTGGAGCGGTTAATACATTCAATCATTTCACTCTCTGTACTTAAATTAAGAGTCTGGGTAGAAAATTCTTACGGCAACACATTCCGTTGATCAGAGTCAAATCGTAGGCTAAACAAAAGTTTCCTGCTGACTGTGTCTAAAGAAGTATATTCGTCAGCGTCTTCACTGAAAATGGTAGTATCATCTTCTTTAGATCGACAAGATCCACCCTCCGTAACAAATCATTAAGGTAAATATGATAAAAATAAAGGTAATTAACATGATATTTAAGGCAGTAAAGTTGAAGCGAATGAATTACAAACTTTTTAAATATTGCTAAATAAGTGAATTGACATTAAAAGTAGACAAAGTACTGTCAAAAAATGTAAAGTGCGACGATGGTAACAATAAAGACGGTGTAGATGGAATGAATTCAAGTAGTAGGGTAGAATACAAATAAAAAGAACATTACTATGACCAAGGTAGATGAAGAGCTTTAATAAAACGTTTTTAAGTACATATTTTAGGTTTTTATCCACATATAGCTAAACATTTGGCTGTACATTACTGGAGAAAAAGTAAACTTTTAACTGACTGAATTCGACCTTGTAGAGCTGTGTGAAGTTTAAGTCACGTTAAGCTGAACGACCTGGCTCCAGAAGGTGTTCACAATTGGAATACATCGTCATCTTCTGCCTACCTTTCACCAAGCCAAACTGAGTGGTGTTCACCCACGCGTTTGTGGAAAACACACTTACAACATCCAATGTAATCAGCTCGACAACATCCAGTGAAAGAGTAGACGCTCAAATCGTCAATGACAACATATAAGTCTGCAGTGACTGCATTCATCTACAAACTAATAGTGAAATGAAATATAAATGTTGATCATGGGTGTCCCTGGCAACCACTACTAGTTGTCCTTACCTCAGATGATGAGTCTTCGTGAGCTTCTACACGACTAAGTGAGTTTTAGTGGAGAGATTCAATGAAATCGAATAGCACCTTAATGTCAAAGAATAAGTTAGTTGTTGAACTCCGGTAAGTACACTTATGTTCCACAATCTACTGAAGTGTGAGTAAATCATCTAGACACCGAGCCTGAAGATCACCTAGCGTTCTTGAGATTGTTTTTGACAAGTTATACTTAGACTTCGTAGGACTATGGAGCCTTCAGTTGGGGGTACCACTTTATACACGCTATTCCCCCTGTGACTACCACAGGAGTATTTGCCTCCTTTCTTGTAAGCTGGGGAAATCAACTACCTACATTAGTGCGTTAAGACTACTTTAGAGTGTCACATACTAGCTACTACCAAAGTCACTCTAGTCACTGATTTATTATTACCATCCTTAAAGACCTCCAATAAATTTAGTGCATTTTCTTTTTTATGGGACTCCTGATTTTTCATTTTCAAAATATTTAGTCAACCAATCAGTAAACAGTTCATATTGCTAATGTTCCTGTCAGTACTGTTCTGCTAACTTGACAGATTAGTGGGAAATTTTCATGAAACACACATCTCAGTACTATTCAGATTGTAAACAACTAAAATGTTTCAGTGAATTGGTAAAAAAAACCACAGTATACATGTTAATTTACCTATATTCAAGTTTATGAAAAAATAAAGCATTATGTTGTATTCAGGCTTTATTGTAACATAACTGGTTAACTAGTTGATAAACCCGATCTTCACTAGAGAGAACATGTAAATATTTGGCTTCATAATTACGTTTTTGATGAAATCTTAAAGTCATGAGTGTAGTGAATAAATGCACAAAGGTACATAAAAACGTACCAAATATTAGGTTACAATATATATCGTGCCGGATGTAAAAAGCATTCATGCTGGAAGATTTATACCACCCATAAATAAATGGTTTTGAATTTCTGACACCACTTTCAAGCCAATGTTTCTATATGGTTCAGAGGCTGCACATTGGGGAAAAACTTTCAGCAGACTGCAGACTTTAGAAGAGTCCCAAACTAGGACGAAACAGCTGTCAAGTACTCCCAGGTTTTCCAGTGGTTCTCTAACTGATGTCAGCTCGTGATTAAACCCTCCATGCAATCAAACAAAATCCCTACAAAACCAATACTTGAAAATTAATCTGATGCTCCCTAGTGAATGGCCCTATTCAGGCAGTTAACCTGGGGTTCTAGTGGGAAGCCGTGACCAGTAGGGTACAGCAGGTTGAAGATGAGGTAGTAACTCATCGGAGAAGACATTGTGAAGTGGTCGCGCTGTGTCGTGAACTGGCAGAAGTTAGAATTCAAGGACCATTTGATCGGGTCCCAGTGGTTCAATGGTTTACGAGCTAGCTCACCTTGTAACCAGAAGGTCCTGGGTTGAAACCCCAGTGGGTGTGTACTGCTGAAGAGTCCCAAACTAGGAAGAAACAGCTGTCCAGTATTCCCTGGCAGGTTTTCCAGTGGTCCTCTAACTGATGTCAGCTCATGATTAAATCCTCCATGTTTGGGAATCCAGAAATGACATGGAGGTCATATGTGGGGGAGACAGAAGTTTGTGAGAAGCGATGGAATCAGCTAACAGGGATGTTTACGAACCAGGTGCAAGAAGGACTCATCACTGAACCGCTTGTGCCCCATTCGTAATGTAAGGAAACAGTTTATATCAATAATATTCACATATAATTCTTTGAAAAATAGAAATCTAACTTTTTCATGAGTTGAAATTATGTCTACAGTTTGTAACCAGTTGATCTAAAAAGAAAAACAAACCTTTTTGACTTATTTTTTCTCCCAAGTGAATTGTGAGATGCACCATTTGAATTTCTCCATACCATCCTTTGATTTGATGCTGGTGTATTTTGTGCTCCCTTATCTAGAAAATGACGGTGATTTAATGAATGGTCAGTATCTCACTTTGGTCTGGTTGATTTCTGCATAACTTAGTTGAAGACTTCGTGTCAAACGATACTATACTGCTGCATGAGATATTTGTGCGATTCAATTTTACAATTCCTGGATCATGGTTCGCTGAACTAACAAAGTAATGAGGATTTTTTAAATAGACAGTAATCAGTTTTATCGGTAAGTTATGAATCGCATGCAATGTCATGCAGTGTTCATCAGTAGTGATATTATATTTGATATAATATTGTTTTCAGTTGCATGTTTTAAATGAATGTGGAATAAATTACTGACGAATGAAAGTAATCACATGCAACAATAACTCCACTTGTTTGCCCAACGTTGCAAACTATGGATAAATTTGTCCTTGCTACAGTTATTTGAAGTAGCTGACAACTGTCTGAAGATTTTAATTAAATTTATTAACATCCATGCACCACTTTCATCATTAGCCACAACTTGGATTCATCAATATTAAATATTTTTTCGGACTATATAGAAAACGTGCCTATCCGATAATCATAGATTTTCTCGGCCTAAGAAACAATGCCAGTGACTCACAAAATGTTTGTTACTTTATATTTCTTTTTAGCCACTTCGAGAAGCCCAACTCGACATTCGCATTTGGTTTCCACATAAGAGAATGTCGCGTGATGTGACTCAACAGTTTCCACAGAGTCGATGGCACAGTGGTTAGGACTCTCGCTGACCATGCACATGGTCCGAGGTTCGATCCCCTGCCGATGCACACCTGATATCTATGGTCGGCCTGCAAAAATTTGGGCTACCGATATCCATGCTGAAAATTCCATACTTGTACCAAAAATACAGTGTGGAATCAAGCTGCAATCAAAAAAATATTTAAAAAAATAGAGCGTCTAAACAGTCTCATTTTCCTTCAGCATATTCGTCGGACGAAAGCTGCTATATTCATTTGATGCTAGAGTTACAGGCTGCTTGTCCTTCCCTGTTAGTCTCCTGACCTTTAGTATGGAGTGAAACGAGGTACCGCTGAAGGTCTGCAGCAAGTTGTTGAAAATGCTTTTTGTGATTCACCGAGTCCGTTAACGATATAGAGGCAGTCATCTGATAACACTGTTGAAAATCTGGATCTTTTCCTTCATGTTGGGCACTGTAGATTTCCACACTGATTTCAGAGTAATGTACACTTGTTTAGCTTTTTCCGTAATGGCTTTATCATCCTCTTCTGTGCCATTAATAGTTCAAAAAATGCTGTTTAAGTAAGTGAAACAGAAAGCGTCCTTTAGATTCCATTTGTTGGTGGCAACTGAAGTTTGTTGCTATTGGTTGGGTGTTTCCATCATCCCTGTCTTCAGTGTTTTCACATGAGGTTCTGTTGTGGCCGTCTTTTCCACCGAATTGTGAGTTTTTATCTGTAGACCTTTTAGTTTGTGTGAGATATGGCATAATTTATCCACTCACGTCTACTAGTAGTGTTAGCCAGCCTCATCGAATTAATCTAAAGACAATAGGTGTCCTTTTATCGTTTAGTGCCGAAATCTTCATCATCCGAACCGATCACAATAACTGTTCTACTTGGTGCCATAAATAACGATCAGGAAAAGAAGTGAAATTATGTGATGACATCTACTGATGGTGGATATGAGTAGTTGAAACTCACTTACGTCTAACAGTAACGCTAGCTAGCTTTATTGAAAGGCTTATTTCATATATAAAACAAACACGTAAAAATAATGCAAATGTCTTAATGATATCAGTATACTCTCAAAAATGTCTTATTAAATCCATGAATAATTCCCATTCGAACATTAATAGACAAAAGACAAGTAGTTCAGCATGGAGTCTCTTTTCGGCGAATTCATTTTCATAGCTGTACAATCGCAAATATATATGGTCATTTTGTGTGTGTATATATACATTGAATTTGTCAAACGAAAATACAGTTAGTAAGTTCAGATGAACTGGATGCTGATAAGACGATAGTAACAGAAGTTATGAGTTGTCAAAAACGATTGTTAAATCAGGGTTACCTGACGGCGCAAATAGTTTGATGAAAGAGTTGTGCTCAGGGTGTACATTGAAGCAAAATAATATACAGAATTACACAAGGCTTTTAAGTTGGAAAAAAATAAGCATACAAACAAAAGTATGGTCAAATCAAACAAACAAACAAAAGTTAAGTCAAATCAACAGAGTTGTTACCACGCGAGTAGAAGTGATTGAATAATTTCCTTTTGTATGCATAGTTCTGGTTCCACCAACTGAATGGCTAGGGCTTCTACGATGCAGAGAAGATGGAATCGTACTGTCTTTGGAAGGTTGTTCTTCACTTTGTAGATTACTTTGAAGGGGGCGTTTGTTGAGATGGAATTACTAGTGGTAATGAGATGTTCGATTACTGCACTCCTTATATGGCCATTACTTTCTTTTTGCAGCCACGCAGACCCTTTTAGACAGGATGGATGCGCGTTGAACGACCGATGTACCTGGCTCCACAGCAACAGGTGAACTGATATATACACATAGAAGTAATCAGGTTCGGAATCTTGTCCTTTGGACTTCTGCAGATCAGCCGGTGACTGGAGAACACTACTCTTAATATTGCCGCAGGGAAAGTTCTTCCTAAAAAGGTGGAAATTTTCCTTCTGAGGACGTCACTAAGTAGGTCTTCTTTGAAGTCCAGGTTCATATAAAGTATTTCTTTAGCCACGGATGGTGTCTCTTGCTTTTGGATTTCTTGTTTAATGTTTTTGTCTACAAATCTTGATGGGTAGCCATTTTGTATGAAGATTTCTTTCAGGAAGTTTAGTTCTTCTTCCATGGTGTCAGAGCTGCAGATGCGTCTGACGCGAGTGGCAAGGGATATAATCTTGTCAATTGGCCATTCCATATGGGTTTCCTACGGACTGACCTTCTTAAATTTTCGTCAGCTCTCCTTGTAAGCTCAACATCAAACCAGCTGGTTTGAATGATAAGTGCAGAAATTACCCTAGGGTAATAAAGCATTGAGTTCATCGCAGGAAAGATGTGAATAGCTAAAAACAAATTCATTAACTTACTCTGAAACCGTTATATCGTCGACATCGTCGAAACGGATTATCTGAAATTATGACAACAGTAATATATTTAGTATTACTCTAACGATTGCAGAATCATTTAGTAACGAACTTTCTTCACATAAAGCAGATGAAAGTTGAACGTCATCAATATCAGCACCACGAAAGATGACATAATCTATATTTTTCATTGCGGTATCACCTATAAGAGGTACTGTTGTGTTGCACATTCGTACTACATATAATGGAGTAACTGTTGTATACTCTACCTCTTTTTAAAGTAACCGTGCAGTGCTTTTCATCTATACTGTGAAGAGCGCCTTCATATTTAAACCCAGCCCTAGAAGTGATCCTAACAATACTGACAGACATTAGAACGATAACAACAAATGTTTTTATTTTTCTCAACTCCCAAAGACTAATGCATTTAAACAAAAGTCATGTCAAACATCAAATTTTGTGCAGGAATGATCCCAACTACCACTTTCCAAGATTAGTCAAATGCACAATTATAATGTTACATTGGTGGTTGCGGATCATTTTTCGATTCACCGCAACATTTCCCTATCATAAGTGGCACTGTCGCCTAAGTTTCATCTTAAATACATGAAAGGCATGAATGGCATATTTGATATTTTTTGCTTTCCTTTTCAGTTATGTTCCTACTATGAATTTATCAATCTGTCTTGCCTTCTTGCTTCCACCAAAGTATTTTCAAATGTTCCTTCTGGACTGTCTCAAACGAATGATGGTATAATGGCATAGTCGTGAAATTTTCTGTCAACTTTCATTCACAAGTTGTTGTCATCACTATCGCAACGTGAGGTAAGCGTTTCATATTTCAATAAGATGGCTGCATACAATTCGTTTTTACTTAGTCGTCAGGCTTTTAAATAAGGGTCCCACACTAACACCAACCCACTAGATGACAATTTTAGCCTAAACTGGTTAGTTTACTCATGCCTTAATCAAGATAACTTCATCACTTCTAAACCACAAACTGCCATGATTTGCCTAAAAATTTTCACATGTCTAGTTCCCACTTTTCAGCACGAGCTTCGCAGCTTGCTTCTTAGTCTATACCCTTTAGTACCGTTGTAGGGTCTGTACAACTCAGGACACCATGTTTACTAAGATGCAATTATTGAATTGGAATTTAGTAGGATAAAACGTGCGACCAAGTAAGAACCATATATTTATTATGATTTACCAGTTTCTCCCCACCCACTGGTATATAATGGGTGATGAATGCCACTTGGGCAGTTTGACTGGGTCGCTCCGCTTCATCTGCCCAGCAATGTATCTTCAAAACTAAACATTAAAGCCTTACAGATGTTTTCCTAAGTATTACTGGCGGTCAGTTGATAATCTGAGTGATTATTTAACCAGAAGTATTGGTTAATAAACCATTAAGAATGATTTAGTCTCAACACACCTTCTATTTCATTATAGTTAAATATAGTTTGTATAATTTTGAACTTCTTAGCTGCTCTCCCGATTCCTTTGGTTTGTGTGTCCTTTATAATCACATTTTACATTACTTGAACGTCCCACTTACCAACGATTCAAAATTATGTTAAAAGCTGTATTTTCTAGACAGAAAAACCTTCAGTAGTCACCAAAGAAAAATCAAGTAAGTTCCACTCATATAATCCGGAATCATGAATTACTTAAACACATAATTACTTTGACTGGTATAGCATGAAGTCTCAGGCCAACAGTCCTAGGGACTCATGTTTTTACTTAACTTCTCAGATGAGCAGACAGATATGGGGGATTGTACAGTGGCTCTCACCAATTGAGGAAACATATCGATTGATTAGCCGCGAAATGATAGTCTAAAAAACCACCGAGTTGTGCTACTTGAATGGATTCGAGCTCAAATCCCGTTAGCTTCAACTAGAAATAACACCAGTGACTGTCATGTGGCCACCTATGGTGCTACAACCGAGGATGGCCGACAATGCATAATGTCTCTTTAGCCTGGCACATCAAATCAGGCGGACATGTCGTTCATAGCACCACCCAAACAAATTAAGTGAGTGCAGGGGATCAAAGAATTCCGTAAACTCAGCTATACCTCAGACGTTTCACCGTTTGCAATCAATTTGTTTATCTGTGCGGATTCAGAGACATGGTGGAAAACATAATTTTCCAGAGACATGAGGTCGGTAGCTTCGTTGTGTGGTGATTATCCACTTCCGCACTCTCTTCATATCGTTAATAAATGGATCTCTCAGCAACGTAAGTGTTATATTCTCCCTCCGCTAGTTGGAACAGTGATAAGGGCAGTCTGGCCATCCTGTCAGGTAGGCTGGGCTGAAGAGCGTCAGGTAAGGTGGCTGTAGCCCGAACCTAGCAGGATTGATAGCCACGCAATAATTGTCAGAGCCATATCTAGTCAAAACCAACTTGAAACGAGGTCGAAGTCATTCAAGTAGCCTAATTAGTTGCCTTCCTGCAATGAAAATGAAATGCTCTGGATGTTTGCGATATCATTGAATCAGCTATTGGAGCATGTGATGTAATAACAATAAGAAAATCTAATTTGTTGCTGTGATCCGTTATTATCATGATTGTCAGTGTGTGGGGTGGGTGCCTCTGACTGACCACTGTGCAGGAGACTTGCTTGACTGATAGGCTGGAGACTTATACGGTAGAATAAATAGGTCGCTAACCCATCACTGAACTGACAAGGTGGTGTAAGAAGTGCGTTTGGTGCAACTCGTACATAACCAGAATTATTCACGGAGTAGTTGAATCGGACATGAAAGTCTACTGCGTCAGGTGACCGCAGACGGTGATGAGGCTACCAGAAACAACACCAGCATATGTGCTTGTCTATCTTGTTCAAGGTAACGATCATGGCTCATGATTGTTTCACAATGACAATAGCTATGATGATGTGTATTAGTGGCGTAGTCACTGGGGCTGAATTAGTTGGTGAGGCATTTTTATCGAAGCATTTAGTAGCCCGCACTACTTGACTTTTGTAGGCAGAAACGGATTGAAAGGTGTCTATAATCATTCTGAAAAGTCAGATCCAGAAGCAGTCAAGACTTCTAGTATGGTCACAATAAATGCCAACCATTAAACTGATAAGCTTGGCACTATATAAGTGTTACATGAGTAGCCTGATCGATGTGGTGCTTAAAGTGTTATTGCAGCCCCCCCTTAAGATTTAGATACCGTTTAACAAATTAGGAATGACTTCGTTAGCTATGATGAACACCGAACTAAATGCGTAATTAAAAGTGCATACGGATATGGGTGACACCTCAGATTCAGTGACATTAAAAAGAGCTGATGCTGCATGTTTCACCGTTCTTGTCTAAATTGCTGATGGTAAGCAGAGGCTCTACGCAACCATGGTTACATGAATACAAGCGAGGTGAAAAAACTCCCCTTTGTTTCAGAAGATCAACTTGTACAACGGTTGCTTCAAAGAACGAACATGAAAGGTAGACACCTATCACAGTTCTTGCACCACCCACAGCCGCTGGTAGGGAACGGCAAGGTACTGAAGCACAGTTAGCTGCAAATCCTCCGAAGCACGCGCGAAAAGTACTAGGCGCATCAGATCAGGACTCTCCTCTTGTATATTTAGTTCACTTCGCTGATCGGAAGTTTTATAGGGGACGACCCAGAGAAGGTCAGGTGAACTGTAGAAGCACGATCAAAGACCTGACAATCCCACAACTAGTGGTGAAAGTTAGGTCACTATCGGAACAAACGGCACAAATACAACTACCGCAGGACAGACAAGGTGGACCACCCAATAGAGCAAGTCCTGCTACAAAGAGTAAGCCTGGACAAGCTAGGTCAATCGCTGACTTTTTCGCGCACCGTCGACAGAATGCACACAGCCATGTGCCTGGCCTAGACTGCAGCACAAGCAACAGAGGAATGGTGGACCCCTATTAGGGTAGCAAAGGAGCATATGGAGAGTCGCCTAATCTAATTCAAAAATAAAAATTCTGAAATAGACTGCTTGGTTAAACCCTAAGCTCACCTCAACATCATGCAAAGGACAAAGGACGATTCGGGACGAGAAACGTCCGCCATCATCCAGCAGGCAACCAACGAAACCTAGGTCGCGATGTTCATGCAGAAAACACTGGCTCTTTAGTTCGAGTTTAAGCAACAGCTCTTGCTTATACATACAAAACAATATTCCGCACCAATTTCCTGGAAAGGTATGTCATATTAGTGGATACCTAGGGGAGGGGTATAACAATTAACGTTAGCTCCTGGTATACGGTTGGTAAAGCGAGTGAGTACTATTCGTTGAATCTGGTCGAGTACCCCCAATATCAACTGAAATGTTCCAGAACATACTCGTGGAGTTCTCAGTTCCAACGACAACCAACCCTCAGACTTCTAACACTGGCCAAAAACTTACTCATTCATGGCCCACCAGTATTTGCTTAAGCAAGGAGATTGGCCACGGACAAGCTAAAAATAGTGAAATCCCAATTCGATTACATGCTTCAGTCGGAAATTCGAGTGGTTGATGAACTTCACCGTTACACATGTTGCCTGGGAAAAATCAGACAGTTTGGTGCCTCTTTGGTGACTAAGGAGCCCTAAATAAGCAAACCGTTCCGGACAAGGAGCCAGTACCACACATTCAAAACTTTATTAATGGTCTCTGATGTGAAACAATATTTACCTAAATTGGCCTAGTTCACGCCTGTCATAGTACTTCATCGGTTGTGGAAGATATACTTGAGTCGGCAGTAACAATCATATGTGGATTAAATAAGTTTGTGCGATGGCGTTTAGTCTTCGGAATGCTTCACAAACTTTCCAAAGAATTATGGATGATTTGCTTTGTGGGTTACCAAAGTTCACCAAAGCATACATAAATGACCAACTCATCGATAGCCCTGATATAAATATACATGAAGATCACATTCGTGCAGTATTACACAAAACAGGAGACAGCCAATCAAAATAAGTGCGTTATGCAGGCAGAAACGATTGAATGTCATTGACCGTAACGGGATCTCAACAATACCCAAAGAGATGGATGCATAAAGCACTTTCATCACACAACTCTGGAGTTTTATGGGGCTGACCAAATTCTACCGACGCTTCAAACCTAACTGCTCACATTGCATGCAGCCCCTGACTAATGCGCCAAGGGTCGAAGCAAAAGGGTTTCAGTTGTAGAGGGAGGCATCCGAAAAGTCGCACAGCTGAAAGAAGCGTTAGCGAAAGCCACAGACCTTAAAGTCCAAGTCTAGGTGTCTCTCCTACATTATTGCTGGATGCATCAAGTAAGGCTATCGAAACAGATTCAAGTGTAGCTAAAGTGGAATCTGACAACGTATTACAATCAGGAATTAGATGACTGTTGAATAATAATTGTCAGAGTAG